GGTTCATAGTTGCTGGCTGGGGTTAAACCACGACACTCTCTTATAAAAAAAAAAACAAAAACACAAGCACTACTTATCATATTTGCACAATTTTACAGAGAGGTAAAACAGCAATCAAAAGACTGCTTACATGCTTTTATTCAATACTACATAATTAACCGGCTCTGCTTCTAAAGAACCAATTTAAAATTCCGCTCAAAACCAATCTGACTGCTGCAGGCACTCTGCAATGTCTGTACTTTGCCCATTTTCTCCCTCTCCTGATGCCTGTATGAAAACAGAAGTTTTTCCATAGATAGCCACTTAATTCGCTACTGGTTTTCAGTCCAACTTGGGATCTCTCATTTGTATTTACTATTCAGTTATAAGGAAATATGCATATATATAAAATAAAAAAGGCTGATAAATGACTGAACAGAGAGAGAAATCTCCTGAACCTGCAAGAAATTCATGGCTCATTCCAAGATATTAAAGCCCTATAACACGTACAGCAGCCAGGTCTGCAACTTCTCACTCTTAAGCACCTCACTGTATTTTCAGAACTGTATATCACATTTTTGTAGAGATGAGAGACCAAGTTTTACATCACGCAAGCAATGCTCGTCCACATGTTTGTGTATTCTCTTACCTGGGATGCACTGCAGGGTTCCATCCTCAGCCCTTATTGTAAAGGTTTCACCTGGATTAACTTGAACCAAAAAGACCTGCCGAAAGAAAAACACATTTGTTTCACTCTGATCTTCAAAAATTAAATTTTCCCAACCCAACAATTGTGTTCTCTGTACTTTGGAAGAGATACAGGGGGCAAGGAGGGCACAGACTGGTATACTACATCTTTGGGTACCAGCACAATCCAAGAGCCGGTAGAGATTTAAAGCCTAACTACTCATCTAAATTTTAAGAGCTGAAATAAAGACATAACTCAGTTGTGTGTGGGTGAGAATTATGGCTTCAGGTTCCACCACCAAACTTGTTACAGTGTGTTTAACTTGGCCAAATGCTGATAGCTAAGGACATAAACCTTTAGACCACGGGCACGTGAGAGCAGAGAGCACATAAACTCCAGCATACAGCACTAAGCCATACCAGGATTTCAAATTCACAGGAATAAAAGTTTTTTGCAGTGTAAGGGGAGTCGATCCATTACAGTTTTAAAAATTTATCCTTCAGTCCTACACATAACAGATCTCAATTAAGCAAAATCCAGAGACACACACAGTTCAACAGTTGCACACAGAACCAGTAATAAACTATTTATTTAGTAACACATACTATCATATTTTTTTAAAATAGTTAAAATATCACCCCAGTCTCCCATTGCTGAATGCTGCAGACGATGGGAATGCTACAAAGACCAGGAAGCACCAAAACGCATCCCAGTTCAGTGTACACTGTACTCAGCTTTAGTAATTTTCAGGTGTCTAAAATGATGGTTTTAAAACTTGTGATTTAGATTTCTTTCTTTAATGGAGAGTTTCACTGGAAACTAGTGATCATTTACCCCATGCTCCTGCTGCTTGTGAAACTTTTACTGAAATACTTTAAACCCTCTTCTGTTAACTTTGTATTGTCAGAAGTTCAGTCAAAATCTGGATTAATCTTGGTATAAGTTGAAAATTTAGATTTATTATCTAATGTTTGTATCTTGGGATCCACCCAAGGGTACTGAGGCAGCTGGCAGAAGTGCTCACCAAGCCAGCTTCCAGCATTTAGCCAGCAGTCCTGGCTAACCAGGCAGGTCCCAGTTGCCTGGAGGTTAGGAAATGTGACGCCCATCTACAAGAAGGGCAGGAAGGAGGATCCGGGGGACTACAGCCCAACGTCGGCGCTGGGGAAGGTTATGGAGCAGATCATCCTGAGAGCCATCATGCAGCACGTACGGGACAACCAGGGGATCAGGCCCAGTCAGCATGGGTTTATGAAAGGCAGGTCCTGCTTGACCAACCTGATCTCCTTCTATGACAAAGTGACCGCTTACTGGATGAGGGAAGGGCTGTGGATGTTGTCTACCTGGACTTTAGTAAAGCCTTTGACACCGTTTCCCACAGCATTCTCCTGGAGAAACTGGCTGCTCATGGCTTGGACGAGTATACTCTTCACTGGGTAAAAAACTGGCTGGATGGCCGGGCCCAAAGAGTTGTGGTGAATGGAGTGCAATCCAGTTGGGGGCTGGTCACAAGTGGTGTCACCAGGGCTCAGTACTGGGGCCAGTCCTGTTTAATATCTTTACCAATGATCTGGACGAGGAGATCAACGGCACCCTCAATAAGTAAGTAAGAGGACACCAAGTTGGGTGGAAGTGTCAATCTGCTGGAGGGTAGAAGGCCCTACAGAGGGACCTGGACAGGCTGGATCAATGGGCCCAGGCCAACTGTATGAGGTTCAACAAGGCTGAGTGCTGGGTCCTGCACTTGGGGCACAACAACCCCATGCAACGCTTCAGGCTGGGGGAGGAGTGGCTGGAGAGCTGCCCAGCAGAAAAGGACCTGGGGGTGTTGGTTGACAGCCGCCTGAACATGAGCCAGCAGTGTGCTCAGG